TGTCTGTCTGTCTGTCTGTCTGTCTGTCTGTCTGTCTGTCTGTCTGTCTGTCTGTATATATGTGTATAAAGAATAAGAGGGGGGGGGGCGCCATAGGTAGGTCCTACGTCTTATCTTGCTCTCTTTGGTTTCTATTAGTCTTAATCTTTTTCTGCATTTAGTTACCATTATTGTGTTGATGTTCTTCTCTATATCTAAATAAACAAACACTTGCATGAAGAGTGAAAGCATTTTAAACTATAAAACTAGCTCAATTAAGCAGGACCGCATTTTAAGTAGCTGAACCTGACCTCTTCTATCCGTGCATTATTTTGTGGCGTCTGAGAGCAAAACGTTGTCCAACACTTTGAAGCACTCTCAAGAATTTCGAAATTCGTTGTTCCGCAAACTTTCCTCGTATCGGCCGACAAATTTTAGCTTTCAGGGAAACAATATAAAGCAATACCGTACAAGATATTTACCTTGCCGCTCCCCTCAGAACACTGCTGGACACTCATTTTTAAAGCATTACAAGCACATCTAAATTCACCCAAAGCCATACCCGGTTGAATGCTTCCATAAATATACACCGAGGATAGACAAACCTCATTGAAAAGGATGGCTGGCTTGATTTATGAACAAAAAGACCCCCATCACCCCCTTGACTTTGTACATAGTGTTGGCATATCTAAGGGATAGATGGCTGCCTCACCAGATAAGACACTCCCTATAGATAATAACATTCCACCTGCCATCAATATAGATGTCACCATCGGGGACATCGCTTATAGTACATGTACATGTATTCCAGAAGAAAGGCGAGGGCGGTTGGCGGGCGCCCTGGAATGTTTTGCGCCACCTTTCCTATTAAACTTAGATTGTCCTTATCTCTCCTCCTTTCCTTTGTATGTTACTCGGCACTTTTACTATCTAATTATGCTGGAAGTGTCTTAAAACTCCTTCTGAAAGTAAAACAAAAGAAAGGCAGAGAGACTTATTAAAATAGACTTCTCCCTTTGGGAGTCGAACTCGTGCCTATTGTGTGAAATGGAGAAGAGCCTAACAGTTACACCACAGACATATGTCAAATGTCGGTAGTCTTGTCGAACTAGAAGAATGGCCTTCGTAATGTGGGTGACAAACCTCGGACCTTACCTACAGTAGCCACAGACTTGTACCCTAGACAGTGGACATGACGTACACCATTTGTCTCAATTTGGAGCCCACTGAAGGGCAAAACGTGTGTGTGGGGGTGGGGG